AATGATAACCAACCAAATAAGTATTGTCTCTGACTGTGTTCTTCGTGAAGTGACTTGTAACACTTTGTTTCAAACCCTTACATTTACACAAATACTTTCAACACAAAATGCATACATAAAGACACATACAATTATTAACACTCCAGTTAGTATCCCTCCAGCAGCGGAAAACATACCGTTTGTCTGCAGTTTCAGGAGATCTTTGCTCCTGCGGTGAGCAGCTGAGAGTGGAGTCCCCTCCGAGCAAAAACACTCAGGGTGTACCTAGGGGCGTCCACGCTGCAGCCGATCCCGCAGCCGAGCAGAGTGCCTCCTGCCTGGCTCACCAAAATGCCTCACAGAAAGCTGACTCCACAATCAGTAGGATTGTAAAGTAGGTATGTTTACTCAGTTCCGTGCAGCACGGGGCGGGTAGTCCCACCAAAGTCGTGCACGCCTAATGTGGCAAATTGCTTTAGTAAAGAGTTACATATACATAAACATTCCTATACATATACATAACCTGTCCCTTTATGAACAGTCCTCCTTATTTTAGACCCCTTGGTTAAAGTCTGAACCATGAGGTTGTTTTTGATCTGGTTCTCGGGGTCCGAGAGGCTCTTGTTATCTGGAGGTATAAGTGCAGCACAGGCACAAATGTAGCACATATTCATTCTTAATCAATTGCTCTCTAATTTCTAATTCCAATGTTTCAGCTTGCTCTTTTCTGGATCCACGGGTATTCTACTATTAATGTTCAAAGCCTGACCCCGTCCTCCGTGGATCAAAATACATGGGGTCTTAAGGGTTCTTTTGGTCATTCTATCATATAATACTGGATCATTTTCAATTTACTCTTTAATTTTCTGGGGCCCCTATTGTTCCAATTTCTAATCATTATTCATAATGGACTTTTTGGTCATATATCTGGCAATTTGCTCCCTTTCTGGTCCTTGGTCTTTGATTTTATCTGACCCATCCGGGAATTTTACTTGTGGCAATTCCCACAGCCCTTGGTTGCCCCTAGTGAGAGTGTCTTGCAGGGGGTTTAGGACCTATCACCCACCCACGTATCCCTCTCTTCACCGGCCCAGCCCCCCCGACAGGAGATTAGAACCAGTGAGAAAACAAAAAGACCTCCACGCTGACTTTAGGAGTCTTAGTTACACTCTCACACACAAAAACTGGCAACCGCACCTTTACCCAACCGGACGGTATCTTACGAATCAGTCGTCTTCGTCCAGAATCCAATCGGACGGTATCCACAAGCGTCTCTGCTGTCTTCGTCTGGGATCGAACCAGACGGTATCCAAACGACTGTCGTCTTCATCCGGTTTGATCCCAGACACCGGAATCCAACCGAATGGTATCCAAACGACCCTGTCGTCTTCGTCCGGATCTTTGCGCGCAGAATTATGGGCAAAAAACAGCCGGCAAGGGAGCTCAAAAAAATAAAATTCTTTGCTTACCTTTATTCAGGTTCAGGATGGCATTAGTCCCGATCTGACTCAAACAGGAGCCACCAAATGGTGGGGCGCCTCTCCTAGATTAAATCAGAATTCAGGAACTATAGCCATCCCGGACGAGCCCCCAAATAGTTATAAATGGCTCAGGATTCAAATTAGGATTAAATAAAAAAATAGGATTTATTAAAAGAATATAAAGGAATAGAGGTAAGCAAACAGCGCTGGGTGCACCGGGAGTCTCCGCTCCACCAGGACGCACACCAGTTACATCAAGCAGCTGATTTTTATGCACCTAGACTAATACATATTCATTACTACTTCTAAAAAAATAGATTATTATAATTAGCTTAGGGGACATTGCTGCTGCACATCCCTGCAGGCTAGTCTGTTCTTGCTCAGCTCTACTCCACTTTCACAGATTGCAAAAGCAATTCTTTTCCTCCAGCCAAATACATAACTTGCTCTGGCTTTGTCTCCCAGGAAAGAGCTCATAAAGTTAGTACTGATTCAAAAAAGGTCAACTAATGAATGAACAATGTAGATTTCCTTGAGGCACGAGCCTGCTAAGCTTTCTCTGGGAAGATTATCATCATTGGTGCTGTGACTGAGACTTGGATCAATCCTTTTTAATTGCCCATGGGTATTTAATTACTAGTTCTTTGATGGCATTAGGGTTCTTTGCATTTCCCATGGTTAAGAGAACTGCCCTGTGAAGATTTTTTTTTTTTTCTTTCTGTAAATTCTTTTAGAATTTTACTTTAGGGGTGGATCCTGGAAAATAGCTATTCCAGCCATAATTATCAGAGACGCAAAGAATACTGCTTAAAGGTCCAGTACATACAAGTTCAAAGCCATCACAGAAATATTTGTATGGACATTTGAGGCTATATTTTCCAGGCTGTTCTTGTTTATAAGATCACCTCTAAGGGAAGCAAGCATAGGGAATATAGAAGTTTGGATCAAAATGTCAGGTCTTCCTGCAGATGAAATAAATGTTACATCTGTGTAACGGTGGAGATTGGTCACAAGGTGTCACCACAGTACTGATTTTTATTATCATATAGATGCATTCACCTGACAAATTTAGAAGCATCTAGGAAATAACCTCTACTATGTGAAACACTATAAGGAGACCGCCTTTTCTGGGGGAGGTGGTGGCTGGCATATGATAGTTTCATTTGTGGCCAAGCTGGGAAATCACACCTCAATGAGGTGTAGGACCTATAGGGACTTACATAGTTCAGGCCTAGGTAGATTCTTTACCTTTCACTATGCAGTTGGTGTTACCTCATTTGTGTACTTAACCTGGCTGTTACTTAGATGCAGTTTGCCACCTTCCATTGCAATGAGTGAAACCTTAAATTAATCTGTGGGGTTTTTTTTGTTTGTTTGTTTTGTTTTGTTTTTGGTTTAAGTAGTATTATTAAAAGATAACCAAAGATTTTTTTTAAAAAAAAAAAGCTTTCTAAGATACAAGTTGCTATAGAAGTTGTTATATTGTTTATGGAAAAAACACTTCTACATAAGAAATACTTAATGCTGTTTCTTCCCTTGCCTCTTAAAGCGTATAGGCTGTTTAATATCAGGAGGAGATTTTAATATTTAAAGTAAATACTGAGGTAAGCTGGACCTAAAAACTTTAGCTGAAGTAAACGTCTAATCAAAGAAGGATTTCTCAGTGCTTGACAACTTCAGCTTTATCAGTAGCTGCTGGTGTATTATTTTGTGCTTTTAAAATTCCTTTAAGTGCATACATGTGCTCTGAAGTGCCCATTTGTCCTGCCATAACAAAGCATTAGAAATAGTTTTCATAGAAACATCAAAGCCCTTCTCAACACGAGTGCTCTTCTGTACATCCATCCACCCACACTCACATGGTGCATGTCTGTTTCACCTTGGAGGGAGCAGAAGTGGAAAGAAGAGCATAAAACTGAAGAAATAAGTGTACTGGGTCTGGCTGGAATGTTAACTTTCCCGGTAGCAGCCCATACATTGCTGTACTCTGAACTTGTAGCTGGAACAGCAGTGTTATCACACCAGTGTTGTGTCCACTGCTGAGCAGCAGTGGCACAGCACCGGGCCTCTCTCTAACCCTCCTAGGGGGTGGGCAAAAAGTGAGGAGAGAAACATCACTAGGGCAGCTGACCTAAACCAATCAAAGGGATATTCCATACTATGTGATGTCACACTCAGCAATAAAAGGTGGAAACAGGAAGAAGAGGGGAGGGGTGGGCTCTCGTTGGGAAAACGTCGGTCCTCCTCCCGAACACCGGCTACGTGCGTTGAGGCCCTGCTTCAAGGACGTGGTCAATCATCGCTCATTTGTGGGAAGTAGAGAGTAATTTCTTTCCTCTGCACTTCCACATAGCCTTCATTTATTTTATTTGTTTGTTTTCCTCCCTTCTTTTTATTTTTCCCTTTCCCCCTCCCTTTTCCCCTTTCCCTTTTTATTTCCCTTTAGTTAAATTGTTTAGTTCATAATAATCTTTATTTAATTATTATTATTATTTCCCTTTAATTAAATTATCCTTATCTCAACCCGTGAGTTGTTCTTTGCTTTACTTCTCCCCCTCCTCATCTAAAGGAGGGGGAGTGAGAGAGCGGTTGTGGGGTTTAGCTGCCCAGCACAGTAAAACCACCACAATAAGAGAAATGAGGAGAGCATATGGGATAGGTGTGCATTAGCTTGCCTTTGTGACAGAAAGAATAGCAATGATGCTTATAAGTCTTACAAGGAGCGGCTGAGGGAGCTGGGATTGTTCAGCCTGGAGAAGAGGAGGCTCAGGGGCAACCTTATCGCACTCTACAGGTACCTTAAAGGAGGCTGTAGCAAGGTGGGGGGATTGGTCTATTCTCCCACGTGCCTGGCGAAAGGATGAGGGGGAATGGGCTAAAGTTGCTCCAGGGGAGGTTTAGGTCGGATATTAGTAAGAACTTCTTTACTGAAAGGGTTGTTAGGCATTGGAATAGGCTGCCCAGGGAAGTGGTTGAGGCACCATCCCTGGAGGTCTTAAAAAGACGTTTAGACTTTGATATGGTTTGGTGGAGGACTGGTTAGTGTTAGGTCAGAGGTTGGACTAGGTGATCTTGGAGGTCTCTTCCAACCTAGATGATTCTGTGATTTTTCCAGTCCCTGAATTGACAAAGACTGAGCAGACAAGGCTGGAGGAGATGCTTTTTAAAACTTTTTTAATTTTCATTTTTATGGTTACTGTTTAAAAAAAAAAAAAAAGTCTTCATGGCTAATTTTTCTTCAGTACAGAAGTGCTTGTTTGTCATATCTTTGCTCAAGACATGGCTTAGCTAGTGTTTCATCCCAACTTTAAATGCACAGTGAAACTCCTCAGAGATGCTCACGTGGTCTCAGTCTCTACGCATGTATCTAGATGGGTCAGAGATCAGAGAAATGGTGACATGAGCGCGCTAACTTACTGTAATAGTCAGCTATATGAATTTGACAGCTCATTCTGCACCACGGGAGAGGAAAAAATTGCTGTAGTAGTACAGCTTAGATTTTGCCTGACTGTTGGCTTTTTTGTTTGCTTTTTTTTTTAGGTGAAACATGGAACCCATTAAAGTTGCACTACCAGTTACGAAATGTCCGTGAACGGTTAGCTAAAAATCTAGTGGAAAAAGGTGTACTGACAACAGAGAAACAGAACTTCCTTCTTTTTGACATGACTACGCACCCTCTCACCAACAACAATATCAAACAGCGCCTCATCAAGAAGGTTCAAGAAGCAGTTCTTGACAAATGGGTGAATGACCCCCACCGCATGGACAAGCGCTTGTTGGCACTCGTTTATTTAGCCCATGCTTCAGATGTTCTGGAGAACGCTTTTGCCCCCCTTTTGGATGAGCAGTATGATTTAGCGACAAAGAGAATGCGGCAGCTTCTGGATTTAGACCCTGAGGTTGAATGTATGAAAGCCAACACGAATGAGGTTCTGTGGGCTGTTGTAGCAGCTTTCACAAAATAACTGCAATCAGACTGCAGTGTTCTCTTTTCTTTCATGTAAACCAATTGTTTCTCTTCTATTGGCTATTCATGTTTTCTGTAATTTGTACCTTCTCACATGAATTGGCTCTTGTTTAATGGAATTATAAGTGGTGTATTCCCTCTTTCTCTGTGCATCTGTATACAGGATTCTGTTGGTACAAGAGACCTTCCTATTTAAAACAACAGAAAAAGGTTTTACTGCCATATTGGCTTTCCATTTCCTTTTAAATTTGAGTTATCTGAAATATTTGTTACTCTGTTTTTCATCTTATTGTTATTGAAGTGGTTTAACATGGAAAGCACCTCGAGGAAACGTGCATGCAATTGGATCACTAGTCTCAGCTGACACAGATGTGTGCATGCATCAATATTTCTGCAGTACAATTCATAACAGATCAAAAAGGGCCTTTTTAAAAAATCACCAAAGGTCCATGTCGAAGTGTCTGTCAGGGCATTTTATACACAAATGTTGTTTCAATTATGTCTGACAAAATTACTTTAAAAGCAGAAATTCCATTTAACAGCTTTGTCAATAGTTCCTGTAAAACCCCATAAAATTTACAAACATGAACCTCTGTAATATATAAAGTAATTTGTTGTACGTACAGATTTTGCTTAAGAATCCAGAAGCTGCCCCATGTTAGATAAGGGCCCCGCCGCTGGCTAGAACCAGGCTAATAAGCAATATCTTTTGTGCCTCTGTGAGAGCATATTTAAAACAGGGAAAAAAATAATCTGCGGGGGAACAGCAGCTGGGAGATAGAGAGGAGTGAGGAACAGCCTTGCAGGCTCCAAGTTCAGTGAAGAAGGAGGGGGAGGAGGTGCTCCAGGCTCTGGAGCAGAAGTCCCCTGCGGCATGTGGTGAGGACCATGGTGAAGCAGGATGTCCCCCTGCAGCCCATGGAGTACCATGGTGGAGCAGGATTCCATGCTGCAGCCCATGGAGGAGATCATGGTGGAGCAGGTGGACCTGCCCTGAAGGAGGTTGCGGCCTGTGGAGGACCCCCGCCAGAGCAGATTCCAGGACAGACTTGTAGCCCGTGGAGAGGAGCCCACACAGGAGCAGGTGACCTGTCAGGAGCTGCTGCCCGTGGGGGACCCAGGTTGGAGCAGTATGCTCCTGATGGATGGACCCCATGGTATGGACCCATATCTGGAGCAGTTCTGGAAGAGCTGCTGCCTGTTGGAAGCCCACACAGGATTAGTTTAGGAAGGACTGCATCCCGTGGGAGGAACCCCACACTGGAGCAGGGGACAAGAGTGACCGAGGAGTGGCAGAGACGAAGCGCTACAGACTGACTGCAACCCCCATTCCCCTGCACCACTCGGGGGGAGGAGGTGGAAGTGGGCAGATGGGGGAAGGATTTTGGTTTCATTCCTTTGTTTCTCACTTCTCTAGCTTGTTAGTAATAGGCAATAAATCTTACTGTCTCCCTACTCTGAGTCTGTTTCGCCCGTCACAATAATTGTTGAGTGATCTCCCTGTCCTTATCTCAACCCTTGAGCCCTTTTCATCGTATTTTCTCTCCCTTCCCCTTTGAGGAGGGGGGGGTGAGAGAGAGTGGCCGTGGTGGAACTCGGCTGCCCACCCGAGTAAAACCACCACACCTACTTATTGCTTTATAGAAGTGAATCAGCCTTCAAAATAATTTGTCTACAACTTCCGTAAAAATAAATGCCCCACTAGAAAAGATGCTTTTTAGCGCTGCAACACAAACTTACCCCCTTTTCAACAAGCAGATAGCCCAAAATGAAGAATTAATCTTGTATATGACCTTACTACACGAAAAGCTTGAGTAAGGAGATAGCAAGTCTTTAGAGCACTGACTCAGGAACAAGATCTTCTTACATTAGAGAACTCTGGTAAAAGTCATGATACTCAGCTCTAAGTCCTCCCTGCTGCATGGACAATAGCTTGCTTTGGAAGCAAGCAAAGAGAAGTTTCAGTGTAAATTAGCATCAGCTTCTGTTCATCTTATCAAATCACATCATGTAAGCTGGATCAGAAAGCCAGCTGCTTTAGTTCAACCACCAAGGCAGCTAGTGTAGACAAAGATATTTGTTGAAGAAGGGGAGGTTCCTTGAAGCATCAGTAGGAAATCAGAGAAGAGGTGAAAGCAACTCTGAAGACAAGGCAATAGATTTAAGCTCAAATTGACTCTAAAACTGAAGGCAATGAAAAGCTTAGTAATAAAAAGGCAAGAGTAGAAACATATGAGGTTCAAAGTTAGTACAGATTGTTTCTGAGCACAAAAGAGGAAGTCACCAAGAAAGAGAGCGGAGCAGAGCGAGAAGACCAGGTGACAAAAGGTTTGAGAGGAAAAAAATAAAAAGTAGAAACAGCAAACAGCTTGGAGAGGTAGTGGGGGAAAAATCCTACTAATCAGCATTTCTTTCCCTATCCTTTCCACTTTCTTAAAAGCCAGCTTTTCTTCTGTTTCTACAGAAGCTTCTCCTCCTCCTGAGTCAGAAGGCATTTCTTATCTTCAGCTTTTCACAGGCTTTGTGTTGCTGCTTTGTAGGAAGGAGAAAAAATAAAAAAAAAATGCAATGGGAGCAAACTCTAGCTCTTGTCCTGTCTTGTCTTGTCTTGAGATGAACATGGGCAGTAGTTCTCACCATGTTTATTCCCCATCCAAAGATCCTCCCCTCCTATGCAAGACTACCTGAAGTCATGCTTTTATATTTGACACTTATAAAGCACTTGGCAGCACCTAATTCCCTGAGTAATTAAACTGTTGTATAAATTAAGCATAACCACAGAATAGAGGAGTTATTTTCAAAAAATGTTTACTTCTCTGAACCTGGAAACCCCTTTCCATTTAGAAAGATAGATGGACACAATACAGGGAAACTAGGATGCAAACAGGCTTTTGACTACCTGAAGTGCCTGAAGCTCAGTTTAGATAGAACTCACACTTTAATGGAAAACAGAAAAGTTCCATTTCCCAAACTGGTGAAGACCTTAGGAAAAATACTCATAAGTTACTCAATAAATGAAAAAAACCTTCAGGTACTGCATGCATGTGATACACATCTACCACTTGGAGCTCATAGCTTGAAAGGGTGCTTTATTTTGTTTCAGTACAGATTCAGTCCAGTTCACAGAAAACACGGTTAATACATATATTTACTTTGTAGGAGAAATGGGCACGAACACATGAGCACTCGGTCACCAGTCTTTTATAGCCAATTTATGCAACTTTCACCTCAAAAGCATCATGCATGGCACAGAGTTTTCACTAACACCTCATATAGGAGCACTGTAAAGTCATCTCTAGAAACACAGGAAGATGTATATCTCAAGGACTGTAAAATTAAATGCGTCTATGCCATTTGTGGATTTATCCTTCAAAATCCTGTTTTTGAGATTAACTTGGAAGTTTGTTTTAGAAGAATGAGTCCCTGAATAATACTTATTCTCCCCTGAGGTTCAGGTTCTTCAGGCTATAGATAATAATCTTTACTTCAAACAGCCAGAGATGGACTCACAGCAGCCAAAATTGTCTTAAAATCTGAATCTGTTAGCTGCAGCAGCAGCTAATATGAATAAGGCTACATGAATCTCAGCAGAACAGTTTCCCATGTTCAACCACTGTCACAGGAAGAATGGCTGAAGTCATGACATACACCAATATGGTTAGATCATGCTCTCTTTATTACCCGAATAGCCTGATTCTTATAGCAATTTAGCAGGGGCGTACAGCGTCTAACACAAGATTATTGGTCGAAAGCACTCAGACAAACAACTGCAAGAAAACAACCCCACCTGCAAGAAAACAACCCCCTTGTGGTTAGCAGTCATGTAGATCTTATCCTTGAAGGAAGTGCCAGCTGCTTGCAACAATATTTTTAATTCCTCAATCGGGCAATAGAAGAACATCGTTATGTCAGCTCCTCGTAGTTTTCCTGGTAGCTTGGTTTGCTCAGCTGCAGCAAGTCATGGCCTCCTTGCTGTTTCAAAAATTCCTCAACAATTCCCCCTTTTTCTTTTTGAGCAATCCAAGTCTGATGTAACAGTCTTGCAAGTAACCCTTTAACCACATTTATTACAATACAACATGCAATGATGATTAACACCACAACAAACAGAAACCTTAATCCCTCTTTGATTAATCCCAGTAACCATCTAGGCATCGTCCCAAACAAATCAGTGAGCCATTGATCGAAAGGACTAATATCGTGTTGAATCTTTCCCATGTGTTCCTTCAGGAAAGTAATGGATTTGTGAATTGACTCATTATGATCAAAAAGGTTCATACAGTACATTCCCTCAGTCCTCACACCCATGTCCTTGAGCCAAAAGCAAAAAGTCAATAGCAGCTCAATCCTGTAAAAGCGCATGTCGCAGACTATTTTGATCTAGTAACATCTCCTCAAGTATTTCTGTCATGTCATTGGCTTGCTTCTCGGCCCAGCATGCCAATTTTTCTAAATTATTAAGTGCGGCCACAGCTGCTGCTCCTGGCATGAAAAGTGATAATGATTCTAGATGCAACACCAAGCAACTCTACATTATCATTGCAATCTGGTGTGAGCAATGCCCGTTTATTTCTAGTGATCTTACGCAACTGCGACAAGCTAGGAGCAAATATAGTAAGATTAACTAAGTAACATGGACCTCCAATAGCATTTGCAGGGATACCTTGCCAGGCCCTATCCCCGCAAATCAGAAAAACATCAGGAGATAGTGCCATAGCTGTACGATTATTCCAAAATCTCTTGTTATTACCCCTTATCTCCACGCCATAGTCCCCCAAAACCTGCCTAGCAGTGTCATTGTAACCACAGGTGTTATTTCTATTTCTGTACCCATATGGCCCTTTCCAAGTCACATTTGTCCACCCTGTTGGATTGTGGTTTTTGAAAGGATTTAATCTTTGCTGTAAATTTCCAAACACAAAACATGTTTGAGTTCAATTCTGTGATGTGTTCCCGATCCTCTGAGACCCAAGTAACTGTAACTCTTTTGGATCCCAGGGCAACGAGACATTAAGTGAATTTATCAGTTTCACTGAACATGCAGCTATAGATGAGGCATTGCAGCAATCGTTGGTAGCATACTGGCCAAGCTCAGAGGGGTCATACACAGGTATACCTATGAGGCAAGTCCTGAACGGATCCGTGGATGATGCCATGGACAGACAAAATTCTGATATACCAGTCTGATTAGCCCATGTCACCCACAGATTTCGTTGTGGCTCGATCTTGGTCACAAGCACAAGCCCTGCTGGCAGTATTAGAATCACCATCAGCAATTTTTTTAATTTCATTAATTGTTCCTTTAGAACCTGATGTGATCGCTTGACAATCACCTGGCCCGTGGGAGAATATGGAATACCTGTGATATGCTCTACTCCCCACATTTTCATAAATTTTCTAACTTTTTTGCTAACATATGCTGGACCATTGTCCGTTTTGATTTGCTGCGGCACTCCCATAATGGCAAAACACACTGTCA